GGGGGGGGGGGGGGGGGGGGGAAATGCCCTGGGCAACTTTGCAACTTTGTGATCTTTGTTGTTCTGCAGAACTTTTGTAGCCTAGCTCAAATGAAATTCAGCACTAATATTTTTGGCTTTTTTAGTTTTCCCTCTATTTGTATTGCTAGCGTAGCCTGAATGTTCACAATAAAATTACTTGTCAGTAAAATTACTTGTTTATGCAGATGCCAGTGTGTAAGATGAAATAACAAAAAGCTCTTACATAGAAAAACCTTAATCTTAAATACTGGAGAAATGGTGAGAATTCCTTCTGAGATTTGACCAGAAAGGTGAACTCTACTTCTGACAACTCCATGTGTGTTCTCATACTTAAGTTTCTAGTGTAGTTGGGAGCTACACTAAGATGACCAAGCAAACAGCGTGGTTGTGGTGTTTTTAAAGTATTTTATAAAAAAGAGAAAAAAAGTATCAGTAAGCGATGCATCTTCTGAAGAGGTTTGAGCTCTAGGTAACTGGGATATGCTCCATGAAAACAAAGGAGATATTTAAATCCAAGGTTTTAAAGCATTGATGATACAATAGCTGTCAGTGACTTATTATGGACTAATTACCACTGCCATGATCAAGCCAATAAGCAGCGATTTTTTTCCTGTATAACTGTACTGGATTAACATACCAAATTAAAAAAAGTCTCGTAACTCACTTCTCAATAAAACACTTCACTGCCAAACAATTGTGTCTTCTATGACAGTTCCATCTCATTCTCTGTACAACTCTGTCCTTAGACTAGGCCAAGAAAACATTCATAAAAACAAAAAGACAAGTTGTGATAGAAATAAAAGGTTGATTTCAAAGAAAACCATTTGAAGATGTCAAAAATACTCTGACCTATCTAAATTACTATGGTAAGGAAGAGAGTCCTGTAAGCTGTACGAGAAAAATTATTTTTATAACTGTTTGGACCCTTAAAAGAACAATGCTTCATTTAAAAAAGACTGTTTGCAATCTTGTGACCTACATAAATAGGTCAAAAAGAGTGTTGGTGGAAGTCTGCACTCTGTTGGTGAGATACAGAGATATACACAGATATATGGTATCATAATCCTTCAACCCAGTGTAAGAGGTAGGAAAACTGCACAGCTTTTACCCTTCATGAAAATTTGGAGAGAGGTTAGCTGTGGAGAGACTGTTAGGGAGGTAAATATACCACTAGCCCTTCAGGTATGACAAATTAATTGGCAGTGATATGCAGTATCACAGTAGCAGACATTTTTTCTAAAAATCACACAGTAGGAAAAACTGTCACAGAAAGAAAATGCAAGGAGACAGTGTTCTGTATTTCCTGACAGGGAAAGAACTTTTAAAAACAATTCATTAATGCGTAAGGAAAAATAAGCTCGTAATACTGTACAGGAAGAAGTTAAAAGATAGGAAGTTTTGAAGGATATGCTGGCTAGCTTTTGTACTCAGATAACCCCCAAAAAAGAATCCTTATCCTCAGAAAATCAACCAGACTGCTCTTTGCTGACCCAGCTATCGTATGTTAAAGAAATCAAAAGCAGAAGGCACTGTGACAACTCAGGCAAGATCTCTAATGAAGGATGGTGCTCAAATTGCTTACTGTGATTGACCAAACTGTTTCCTAAATCGCATAATATTTAACAGGAAATGCTGCAAAGAGAAGCCTAGGGTTGTTCTGCTAAGGTTTTACATGAATAATGGCAACATAAACGTGAGCAGAGACAGCAATTAAACAGCAAGCATTAATAACCACAACGAATACAGTGAAAAGCATGTGGGAGAAACAAAGTGCACAGTCAGTTGGACTGAGATTCTACATGACACAAATTAGATGAGAGAGCGCTTGTTTCTCAGGCACTGTAGATGAGGAAAAAACCAGAATGTGTTCTGAATTAAGCAGGAACATAAGTAGTCTGATGTGTGGTATACTTCCTCTTTGCTGAGAGCAAAGGCCATCAGTCAAGGACTACAGAAATGATCAGCAGTATTATGAGCCAAAATTTAACCTAACTTAAATAGAAGTAAAACCTACAGGATGGCTTTTGACTTTAATCTTATCAATACAGTTAATTAGAAATATTGGAATTTTATCTTTTGTCTTGTACACGTTGCATCACAACGAATACTCTTTTTGGCAGCCAGTTACAACTTCGAGAAAAGATTACAAGTTTCAGGCAGCACCACTTTCTCCTGAAAATTCCAGATAACATCTGTTCTTAATTCACAGAATAAGCTGGAAGAAAGAGGACACTGAAGAACAGACAGACCGTTCTTATAAGTTACTTAAGTAGATGGTATTGAGTAATTTTTGGCTCCTTTCCCCACATCAAAGAATGTAATACTTTGTACTACTGCCAAAGTATAGGGATTACTACCATGAAGTAAGACTTTCACAAAGATAAAGCTGAAAAGGGAAGATGAATAAAAGAAACAATTGGAGAACCTGGACAAAGGTGAAAGAGTGAAAAAGTGCATTTTTTGCTACCTTTTCTAAAATAAGTACATTACTGATTGCAGGGGTCTGGTAATTTCAGATGTATACAAAGTAGTTCAGAAATGAAAATTACTTGAACAGCCTACTATGAATGAAAACAGGTGCTACAAACCCACACATCTCATTACCTCCCCTGTGGCTGTGGTTGAAGAATATCCAGCAGAAGCTGCTTCACTTCACTAGGGGACATCTGGTATAAGTCCTTTGCTGGCATATCCCCAGCACGGATTTTCAACTCATACTTCATAGCATGGATAATCCATCTGAAGTAAAGGGAAGAATACATCTATTAATTAAATATGAAGTTTCCAAAGATGAAAATTAGTCAATCATAAGAATTCCACATGATCCTGCTATTTGGCTGTCATGACATGAATAAAATATCAAACAGTTTACCACTCTTAACTGTATTGTGCAATTTACTCAGATTTTGTGTTTGTTTGCAGTATGATACAAACTGAAAGGGATAATCCACAGATTTTTAAGAAATGGGTTGTGAAGCATGCTTTTCATAGGGAAGGTATATTTGATCACATATTCCCTTATGTCCCATGTTCATTAAGACAAACATTCACCTGCCTTTTGATGTTAAAATTCCTACTCAAAATTATGCTCTGACAGTATACGCATTTCACTGACGAGTTTTTTAAAAAAATTAAAATGTAAAACCATATAATTTTTACAAAGTCTTCAGGGCTTACTTATAGTTTTAAGCCTTTGAAACTCCTTTTTGTAGTCTCTGCACTTTTCTTTCTTATGCTACTCTCTTGAAAAGATTTGATTAAACTAAAATATGACTACAGTGAAAATTTTTCAGCCTTAGGTATTCTGATCGGCAGAACTTTGCAAATTATTGAAGGAAAATGCTGAATTTTATTCTGCACATTATATAAAAACAGTGCTACAGCCTCTAATATAATTTCAAAGATGAAATAATGTATAGATACATCCGAAGCAAGATAACAGCATGCAGCTCAGTCTCTTACCATCTATGTTGCTTCAGTTCAAGTAGTTATTACTATCAAAAGGGAAAAGAAATTTAACTAGTGTTTTCTTCAAACAGTCCATTGTATAACACCTGATCAAGTCTGGGTTACATCAAAGACCCTTGCTCTGTTTATCAGAAAAAGCAGAGTATTCCTGAGAGTTACCTTGTTATCAGTACAGCCACATTCCACAGGCATTAAATTATTTAGCCTACAAGGTACAGAATACTTTTTGTTTATGTAAGTCAAGTTACAGTCTTCTGAAGGATTCTCAGTAACTACACAGAATTCTGAGGTGTTAGGCCAGCTGATTCAGTGTTGCTTTAAATTTGAAGTTTCTAGAACCATTCATTGAAGGTGCAAGATACAAGAGAGTATTAGGAAATATTATATTATCCAGAACACGCGACTTTTATTTTACTTTAGTGGGTGAATAGTGTCCTTCTCTTGTTACTCAGATCAACAAATACAACTGGTTTAGGCATCAGTTCTTTTTTCACTGATGACTCAAATGTATCTGTGTGGAAGTCATTCACCAGTTATTTTCTCTTCGCAGTGGCCCACAAAACATAGTTGAGAGTGGACCTCCTACCAAACTCTCCACTGATAAAACGTAGGTAGAATTCAGTTGGTTGGAGGTTTTTACAGTAATAGGGCTGTCAGGAACTTGATGTATTTCAACATGAAACCCTCAAAACAAATCAATAACAAGACACTAAATCAAATTATTATCAAACTGGAATGGTGTTTCCGCAAGAAGGTTAATTTTGCTCACTGGAGTGGGTGATAACACTGAAATAAAGGAAATTGAATCTTTAGTATTAGCCTTGGAAGAAAGAAAAAAAAACAAACCTGTAAAAAGGACTAGCTACAGAGAATGAGAAAAGGGAGGAAAAAGGAGTAACATGGATCTGTACAGGGTACAGAAAATGTATTTAAGTGCAAAAGGATAGATGTCCTTGTAGTTAAATGTAATACAGGTGATTTGAAAAGTTTTTGGTTTTATGATGACTGGAACGTACTGCTAAAGTAGAAGCATGAATCTTGTGTGCTAGAAAAATGACTGCTGGTATCTAATTCCAGTGCTGAAATGCTATACTTTCTCTATGAAAAAAATATGGAAGATGGAACACTTAAGTTCTAAATTTAAAGCATGCTTACTAATTCTGTAAATCTCAGTCAGCACCTGGCCTCTTCAAAGTAGTACTTATTCAAATGCATCTTTCTCTTCCTAAATGTGAAAATATAATTAATTTCTGTAGACAGCAATGTAAATGCAGATACCACAGAATATAACACTCCAGTACAGACTATTTTTAGGTCACCTTACCAAAGGCCTAAATACAACAAAATCCAGTAGGTAAATGGTTTTAAACTTGATTCAGGTTTGTGGTTCCTAATTTATGTATAACTTAACCTAACTTGTTTAGTATAGAATTGGACAACTATGTAGCTGATGAACAGTCAGGAAGTGTTGAACTGCAGAAGCTTTTATTACCCAAAGTCTCCATTACAGACAACACTCTAAAAGAACAAGCTATCTTTTTAGGCAGATCATTGTGCTGAAACTCTGAAAAGAAATAGTTTAAGTACCTTGAAACACTGTTTCCAAGGGATTTGTTGCTCATAGTTGCCAGACTTTTAAGACTGGTTTAGACAATATATTGTGAGCTGCGCACTTACTAGAAACCAGAGAATGCAACTAGAAGCATGTTGATCTGGAGGAGAACTGTGTGGTTTCAGAAGGGAATCAAATTCATGCTGCATGTTTCCTAGATTATTACATTTATGCAGGCTCTACCCTTCACCCATTTTCCCCAAACCTACGTGACATAGGTGACTGACTGCTCAAGTGAGCAAAATGCTTTTAAAGGCCTCATACATAGGAGCCTTAATCCTAGACTACACTTTCCTCTCCTTCCTCAAGTCCTGAAAGTGTCTGACAGTAAAAGCTCTTACTGTCCTCTCTACCTCTTGATTCTTCCCTCCCTGACAGTACAGCACATCCCTCACCTCCAGCCATGTCCCTCTAACCTGCCCAATAGGTGGGCAGGCAGCAGCACACCCTGTGTGCATCTACATTACCTGTGGGACACTAAAGGAAGAACCAACACTTGGTTTGGTTTGATTCATTATGCTTCTAGGACTATGTCCACATCACATGTTTACTGGTAATGAAATTCATGCTAGTTACCAGCCTTAAGCATGCACAGCTACACTTCTACCTACTGCTTGATAAAAATATTTCTGTAGAGGTTGCCTTGCTGCCCATGCACGGAGAGCAAACTGTGAACAGACTTCGTATCCACTCTGCAACCAGGAAACTAGATGGCATCCAGTGTGTTCTGTGTCTGCTGCCACATAGGAAACTGTCTCAGAAGCATCACTTCTGTGCTTACTTTATTATTTCAGGTAAGGATATGAGGCCAGTTGCAATCTAAAACAGAACCCCTTCAACCCACTGCATTGCTAATGGAGACTCACGTGTCTATGCCAGAGCTACACAGAGTCTGGCTGGCCTGCTGGCCCCTGCCTCCTTGGCCACTACATGAGCCAGGCAGAACATTCTGCCTGTTGGCTGCTGGCAGGACAGGGTGACCTGGAGGCAGCACACTTGCTGATGATGATTTGCTGTACAGAATGCATCTAACCCCACTACAATGATTTTGGTTTTAAAGTTCAAACGTGATGAGGATCAAGCTTTGGAAAATCCTATAGTTTACTGTATTAGCTGTAAGCTATTAGAAGGACTGCCCTTCCTCCGCTTTACGCTGTCAAATTGAAGCATACAAGTTTTGCTGCATCATCTTACATAAAGCATATTTTCAATGTAGCAACAATCTCTGTTGAAGTACGTACATTGCCCTGCAATACAAGTAGTAAGAACAATAGATACCCAATCCGTATCTTCAGCATGCCACTGAAAAGTTCAGGTGAATTTGAGATGATCCAGCCAATATGTATGACAAGTTCCTGCTGAACTACAGCTTCTCTTTCATCTTGCAAATTACATTTTTCATAAATGATGTTCTTAATCACTGCTGGGGATAAGGGATTAGAAATAACTTCTTCTTCTTGGCCAAAAGCTCCAAGCGTCACCTACAGTATATTGAAAACAATTCAGAAGATATGGACAGAAATAAAAGCACCAAAGAAGCAATTCAGAAATGAAACTTCATGAACTCTGTTTCTCTTGTTAAAATTTCATAATACTAAAATAATTTTATGTCAATGACTGTTAAGTTGGATGCTATTAAAACAGCAAAATTTACTAAAGACCCCAGTAAATATGGAATATATTTTTCCAAAAGAAAATAAAAATACGACTACTTTGGTTTCAAAACTGGCTGTATAATCATGACTGTACACTACATTTAGATAGTCTTTCATTTCTGACATGTCAGCTGTGGAGTTCACTTAAAATTCAAAATTTATAGTTTTGTTTTCTTAATTCTAATAGCATCCTAAAAGTTACAGACTTCATTTTAAGAAAATATATTGCTGGTACTGGATTGTTTAACCAAATAAAAGGAATTTTGTTCAAATTTTGATTTGCTTTTAATCCATGGTCAGTAAAACACAGCAATACTAGATTTTCTCATATAATAGCGATTATTATTATAAAGGCATCAATGAAGCCAAGTTATGTTAAAAACTTGAAAATAAACAGCTACAAATCATGCTGCATGTAGATGCAGCTTCCCCTATAGCTATGTAGCGCTAGAAGAACATACCCAGATCTGAGTCTGGAGTAAAACAAAGATAAACCTGTCATAGTAGTATTTCATACAGGTAAGTATACACATATACATTTTAAAACAAGAATACATAATATTCTATCACTGTTATTTGGAAACAGCTCTTCATGAACTTAATTATTGTGCTGGGATTAAAAAAGAAAAAGTCTTTAGGAAAGGAAGAAACAGATGATTAAAATTTAACATAAAACTAAAATCCTAAAAGACGTTTTGCTCAATCGCCACCCATCCATTGTCTTATGCTCAGTTACAGAGAGAGTGGCTACATCTTCACTAAAAAGAAGCTTTATGACTTGACTCCATCTACTTTCATGAAATAAGGGTGCAGATATATAAAATCTAAGGAGTTATGTAAATCAAGCCTTTTCCCTTCTTATCTAGACACTGACCTGTCATTTCAGTATTATTCTGTTATTAAATATATTTATTACCCCATCGTATAGGCAAGTATTAAATATATCTTTATTTTCTCTGGATTTTTCTTCCTCAGTGAAGATTTTTTTAAGCCACTGGATACTTTTAAAAGAAGCAGAGGCCCTCAGAATTACAGAGCCAATTTATTTAGTTTCTCTGTTATCATTCCTTAATACATTTCTGAGGAGTAAAAACTTACCTGCTTGCCCTGAACTAAAACATTAGTAATAGATGGTGCAAGGCTGTCCACTAGTTTACCTAAAAGACTTGCTGCGAAGCGCACAACAGACCTGAGGGCAGAAAACAGAGCAATCCCACTGCATATCAAAACCTAGTTTAATGAATTCATATATAAGCTTGAAGTCTGCTACAGCAGAGATCTCAAAACTAATTCAATAAATACATACATTATTTATAAAGTGGAATTTGGATCAGATTTCATGTAATCCTCCATGGATTTTCATTTTTTAGTCTAGATACAGGTTAATGGATCAAAAATAAATTTAGTTAGAACTCATTAAACTACCAGCTCCACAAAAAGCTTTTCGTTCTTTTCTCCGTATCATCTTGAAAACAGACAGGTAAGAGATGCCAGCTTCTCTTTTGTGACATTTCCATCATTTTGGAATATAAGCCTATTTAAAGAAGAGTTAGAAAGATTCTGCAACAGGAAGTACAACATGTAACACCAAGACTGGTTTTCCATGCTGAGGTAATATTTCACATGTGTAATATGAAAAGAGCAACTTGTGTAAACTGCTAGGTTAAAAACTAGCTGTAATTTCTAAGAATTTTTCTTTTTTAAATCCAGTTGATGGTTAAAGATATAAATACTTTTGATAATAATTTTCTGACAGAATACAAACCTAACAGACCTGTATTTGAGCTTTTCTAGCACGGGCTTTGAGGCTGCTAAGAATCATTTATCCACAGAGATAATGAACGAGTTGTAATATTCTGTAGTGTTAGTAAAAAATTCAAACAGTTGTGTTGATTCCTGTGAAAACTGCTATGCACTTCTTAAGATCAAGAGCAAAGCATTTAAAAAAAATGCATTAGCCAATACTATCAAAATGCAAATAAGCAACAATCAAAAAAAAAAAAATCTCATGGAGCTCCATTTCAGATTTCTGGCCACTTTACCTGTTTCCCATGTACCAGTAAAGTAGTAATATGTGGGGTTATAGAAGAAGAAAATTTCTGTGCAAATGCAGCACTGTAGCGCAACACCAACCTATATGTATGTCACATGGCAATCATGGAAGAGAAATGAAAAACAGTTTACATATTTTTTTAAAAAATAATTTTGATTTTTATTCTTCACAAAAAATACCACCAAGGTATTTCAGTTCTACCTTATTATTGGCAAAGGCCCATTTTACTGTATGAACAGACTAAAATGAAAAATAGTTTTTATATTTACAGCCTCACCTGTTAGGAATAGTTTAACAGAGTGAGAGAACAGAATTCAGGACAGGCTCAAATAATTTCTTTGATAAAATAAAATGAAATTTCTAGTGATCTTCAGGGCAAAGAAATTAATAAACAACAATAAAATACCAACCTACTTGTTGAAACCTCATAAAGTTATTGTGACAGTCAGGCTCAAAACAAATTATTTTGGGGCCACAAACAAACTGTAAGTGCACCAAGTTAAGTGATTTATATTTGATCACCAGCATTGCTACAGAAAGCTATTGATAATATTTTATCATGCTCTGGAAGAAGTAAGAACATTAGTATTCTTATTATTTGAATTTAACGAGAACTGTACACTGGCAATAGCACTCATAGCCAGTTATTACTCTTTATATTTTAGAAGGTAACAGTAAGAAAATACTTCTTAATTTTTGTAAAAGCACTACAGACCAGATCTTCAGCTGCAATGAACCAACACAATTTTGTCAGTAAAGCTGTCTTTTTTTTCTTCCCACCTTTAAGTGTGTAAGGATCAGGCTTGATTTTCTATGAACACATTGCGAAAAAAATATTGGTGTAAAACAAAAGAAACATGATATATGCATACAAACCAGAGCTTTTTGCTGCCAGCTCTTCTATAGATTCTTTCAATATGCTCAGCAACAGTACCTAAATGCATTTAAAAAAAACCAAACACACACATGAACAAAGCACAAGCAAAAAAGATACACAGGTTTTTATTTAATAAGGTAATTTGATGGTATCAGTCAATTCTGAATCAGCTTTAGCAAATCACTTAACTGTTGTGCTTAACATCTAAATTTAGATGCAATCAAGTCCTCTATCATCCAGTTGTAAGTTATGCAAGAAGCCCAACCAAATTTCAGCTACATATGCTGCTCATGCTATAAAGAGACCTACGATACCTCTTATTTTTGCAATATAATGGGGAAAATTAATCTATGTATGCATTCTGCCTATAAAAGTACATCCCCATTGTAAGGTACATCCTCCAACTGCAGATTATGTTTTGGATCCAGGATGTAAATACTCTCTGAGCTGCATTGCCTCTTTGTTGAGCTAAACCAGGGAAGTCTTGTGCTTGGCAGTATAGTTCGCTGAAGTGGTGTCATGTTTGGACCAAGTTTGTAACAGTTGATATTCAAGACATGAGTTGTTTTCAACTTTGTATATGAACAATAGATCACCTGGTTAATCATGTGGGACAAGACTTTCATTTTACAGGAAGTTGGGAGAGTATGAAAAGAGAGGATCTTTCGCTGCTTTGCAGCTCTGCCCTCAATAACCACAGAGGTGCCCACAGAGATACTCAAGTGACATGTGAGCTGGCTTTGGTAATCAGGTGCACTACAGCACTACTCTTGTGAAGCTAATTATCACTGTTACAAAGTACATCAGGGGATATTGGACAGACATGTAAGACATATTACTGATGAACTACTCTCCTCCAAGCTGATTTTCTGTGTGCCCAAACCAAAGAGAACATTTCATGAAGTGTTACATATTAAAGTAGCATCATGCTGTACAGACATGACCTAAAAAAGAGAGGGCAGGAACTGGAAACAGCATTGCTTCTAAGTCAAAGTAGCTAGCCCAGGATTCAGAGAAGGTATGAAGTACATGAATTACACTAATCAGAACAATAGATACCATTCTTTTGTCAGCCCACAGTTGACTGTAGTGCATCAACTCGCTATACAAATATCTCTTCAACTGCGTAGGGGTCAAGTGGAGACCATTATGTTAAAAGTGGTGAACAAACCTTCCATTATTTAGATTTCACTTAGCATATAGATTTTTAAACTCTTGGATGGAATGGCAGTGTTTTTCATGCCAGGCACTTATGGGTGAACAGTAAGTTCATCTATAACAACAGCAGTGGCAGTTGACTCACAAAATCATAGCCTGTGCCTGTCAGCTGGAACACCCAAGGTTCTTCAGCTTTTATTTTTAGATATATGTTTTATTGATTGTGTGATTCTTTAATGTCAGTCTCAGTAATCTCCAGCCGTAGGAGGACAGGAACTTTTAGTCAGTGACTCAGACTGTTTAATGCAAGGTGCATATTAAAAAGGTTATCATCATCTACTGTTTCATATGGGATAGCACAAAAAGGTCTATACAAGTTAGCTCTGAACAGTCAGAGGCACAACAGCACTTTTTTTGACCAATATGGTTTCAAGAGATTTTAAGTTCATCATCATAATCTAATGGTCAAAAGTGTTTATGCTCGGCTTGCAGAGGTTAGTAAGTCTGCCTCAAGTTGTTTCCAGATCAAAGGAGGACACAATCTAAAAAGGACTAAAGAGCGCTACTGAGGCTCTCAAAGCCTGACAACAGTACAGGCAATAGTGGCAAAAAAGCCTTCTTCAGAGGCTACAGTGTGCCTAAGGCTGAGATTCCAACCATCACTTTGGATTCACACTGTATTTCAACAATGCATTATGTATCAGCCAATAAATTTTATTCCACTCTACATTATCTTCCATGACATTTTTAATATAGCAATAGGGATATAATGTATATTTATGTCAAAATGACAACTTTCCATCAAAAGAACCAGCTGTTCTATATCAAAATTATGAAGCAGGGCTCTGTAACATGAGGTGGTAACTTACATTGCTCAGTGAATAACTAAGAGAATATTATTTGATCTTAGCATTCCTCTTTTTCGGAGTAGCGTTCATACATACAAAGGCAGCTAATAAGCAATCTTAAAAAAAAACCCCAAAACACCAACAAAAAAACCCAACTCAAAACCCCCCACCAAACCTTGCAGCACAAAAGCCACAAGCCTCAGTAGCCTCTTCTAAATTATTTCACATGAATTTAAATCCTGTGGTCTAATACAAAGCCGTAATACAAAATTAGAGTAAGCTCCATAGATATACTGAATTCAAGTCTGCATAAAAGTAAAATAAATATTAGTAGAAAGCTACACACATTTTTGACTGTTACAGACGCACAAACTTGTCTTTAGTTTCGAGTTTTCCATATAAAGTCAAATCCTCTGTTTTTTACATCTATGTGTTCAAACTTACAATCAGATACAGCACCAGCCTATAAACAATCTAAAAGAGTTCATATATTTAGCAGCTCATTCCCCAGTTCATTTCCTCATCCATGCTATGAATTTGCCTGTTCTATTTAATGAAGAAATTACTTTAAATGGCAAAGAAAACAGCTACACTACTGCTTGCGTGCATGGCCATTATTCATGCTCATTATAATCAAACATACAGCCAGTTCCTGAAATACTAAGGATAGTCAAATGAAAGAAGCTCTTACCCTCCTTGGTGATAAAATTCGGTCCTTCCCTTTTAAGCAATATACTCAAGAGTAATGCTTGACTTGCTAGGCAATTGCAGTCCTTAAAAAAAAAAAAAACCAAACAGCAACAACATAATCACAAATAGCCTTCAGATTTTCAGTGAAGCAAACCCAGAAGAGCTATTAAAAACTTCAAGTGAAACTAAAGGCCCTTTTTTATTTTTTTAATTAAAGAAAAAAATCTACAAATTTTGTTTTTAAGGGGACTTCACAACTCTTTCATATCCTATGTATGCTGTATCCTTACCACTGCTGCTTGCAGAGGCTTCCCCATGATTCAAGTTAAGTTGTAATAATTCAGATTCAGAAAAGTTTCCTAATTTTATTTTCTTGGGTCCTGTTATTTACAGCAGAAGTGCTTGTAAAGACACAGGGAACCAAGCAGAATACTTCATGTGTTCCTGTTGAACACTGGATCTAGAAATAGTCACTGGTAGTTTTCTTCTTGATACGGGAAAAATGCCAGATTGGAACTTTCCTTTGGTATTATTAAGAAATCACCACTCTATCAGAGTGAATACCAACTGTTGAAGTCTTCTGAATTTTAAGTCTAGCAATAAAATATCTATTCATAAGACACATGACAAATGGATCCCCTTCTAGCTGGTCATTTATTACCAGAAGATAGCTTGGGTAGATGGGAGAAATGGAAGCCGGCAGTTACAGCATGAAGGGCCAGAAAGTTCTGTGATGTTAAGATAAAGGACTGTCAAGAGGAAGATTCTTCAGGTACGAAGAGGAACATCAGACATTTTATATTACTAGCTGTTACTGACATTGAACCATGACACTAATCATGTTGATTTAAGTAGACTGCTGTTAAAAAGAATACTGGCACATAATTTTTAATTTAATGAGAATGAAGATACACTGTATTTTTATCAAGTTTTCTTACATTCAGTTTCTGTAGGATCTCATATGTTGACTTGTTTTTCCAGTCATTAATATTTACATCTGGTTGCTGCTCCAGTTCAGAAGCATTTGGAGTACTAGACTGTCTCTTGACTTTTGAATGTTTTGGAAGATCCAACTCCTCCAAACTCTTAAATACAGGAGGCCTGAAAAATAAGTGTTTCATTCCTTCATAGCTCAGAAAATGTTTTAACTATCAAATACTTCATCGTTATTATTTACACATAGCCTTACTCTTCTGTTTCAGTGATTCTTAGGAAGTCAAGTTGTTCAACAACTGCTCCAGATATTAATGTCTGAAATGAAAAATTGAAAAAATTAAAAAATATGCAGAAATGTATGTAACTACATAGTTGTCTTTTGGCCTCAATATGTGGCAGGTGGTTTCCATTGAGAAAGTAGTTTCTTTATCTACAGTTCCAAGTATCTTTACACTTTCAGAGTATTTTTCCTTTCTTAAAATCTCACTTAAGACAGCAGAAGTGTCTCAGTGCTGCTGGCTCTTTTTTGCTGGCATTCTGCTGTTCTTTTGCCTGCTATGTACAACTTAAACAAGCAATGTCCAGCCCCACCTCCAAAAACAGGTCTGACGAAAACACCCGAGATCAAGGATTTGCATTCCTCAGAGGCCTGCATGATACCCGTGTTCCAGACCATAATGCTTGTTATTTCAGGGATTGCTGAAGGATGGTTTTCCTGTCACTCAGTGATGTTTCAGGAAAAGACAACATAACAGCATTTCCTACTCTGTAGTCAAATTATCCAACTTAATCCAAGCATCCCTGCCTGAAGTTTGCACATCAAATGCAGCTTACAAAACCTTCTCTCTCAGAATATTACATACCTGAAAATCAATGTTGCATTTATCTGATGCAGCCGTCATGATTCATTCACTACAAATTTATATGAATTTCCTATTTATATACTATCAGAGGAAATGAATTGTACTATAGCATTTTTAAGACTGCTTTTTGATGGTTCTCATTAGTTAAATAAAACAGTGTGTATTGTGAACTTTTAAATTCCATTTTCACTGTACACAAGTTGCAGTAAAATATTGATCTGTTACACTGTGAGATGACTGAATATAAAAAACCTGCTTTGCTTTTATTGCTAGTGTCATTCATCCTTTGACTTGCATAAACTCATGACAATGAAGGTGAAAATCAAAAAAGAGCTACAAGTCGTCTAAGCATACACATTTTAAATGAAATTAGATTTTGTATATTTTACAGGAAAAAAGAGCATTCACCCAGTGAGACACACATTCTATCTCTAGGCACGTTTAATGTACGCATCTAAATGAAGCAGCTGAATACAACTCTCAAAGATTAAAGGTATATTTTGTTGGAATAGATGAATTATTTAAGAAAATGCCATGAATTAGACATGTCCCTTGTTCTTTTCCCAAATCCTCCCCATAAAACGACTGTTTCCAAAACGTGACAACTGTGCAGTAAAATTGAGAGATTCTAATTAACCTGATGAAGCAATCATACCATATTCCACCAGTAAATGCACTGATCACAAACATCTACTGCTGGCCTTAAAGCCAAATGAACATTTGTTTGTAGTTTTACCATGCACTCTTTTTAATGGATAACAAATACAGCAAAGATCAGTGACTGTCAACATCTTAAACACTTTGAAACTACTAATTACTTTTCTAAACAAAAGAATCTTTCCAGAAGGTCAATGAGTATGGAAGGGGAAGTTCACTCCCTGATGACTGTAACAATAAGGACACATTATGTAGATTGAGAAATTTCTCGTTTGATAATACAGCAGTTTAATCAATGCAAGGCAAGAAAGTAATTGCAGTTAAATTAAAAAAAGAAAAAAAAAGTCAAACCCAATAACAAACACTAGACAAATGAACGGTTTCCCATGGACAGTAATGGCATTTGCTATAGAAAAAGTCAATGGTAACAGGAGAGACTACATGACCTACATGTGACCAGTAGAAATATATAAATATTTTAAATATTACAAGTATCTCTTAAACTGTTATAGTATTTAATTTACAAATGAGCCAGCTCTTCTACAAATTCATGATTTTCTAGGGAACAAGAAATTATAACTGTGTCTTCGGTCTTCTCTCTTACAAAAAGAATGGTTCTTAACAGGTGTAAACTAAGATTAACTAGCACATACAAGTATCTAAAACCAGCACCTGACTAAGTAATTTTCACACTTTAATGAAGTAATGTACCTGCTTTAAGATTAATTCAAACAGCAAAGATGTTAAAACTAGATCTTAGTTCTTGTAAGCATTTTAATCTATGAGGCACTTGACACACACACACACGCGCGCGCGCGCACACCCCCACACCCCCTTTGTTGAATCTAATCAGAAGAAATCCCCCAACGCTTGATATCGTGGATTTATCCTTTGGTGGTAATTTCACAAGATTGCTGAACATAAAAAAAACCCTTCTCCTTTCTGAAAATCCTCAGTGATGACTATCACTTTCAAAAGACTCATCAAAAGAAATTAAAATATACCCATAATTCTTTAGAGATCTAACAAAAACTGTACCAAATGTCTTGGGTCTTGGCTCCTTAAATTTATGATACTAAGCACAATACTTAGAAGTCACATGAAAAACAAAAGCAAAGAATACACATACCAATACCAGAATGTAAGAACACAACATTCAGGAAAAACATCATACCTGTACTCTGTCAACATGAACTTTTACTCCTCCAACAATTCCCTTTCGGAAGGCTGCCAACATGTCTAATATTGGATTGAATCTGCTCCCTCTGAAATTTGAAACGGAATTCCATTAATCTTACAATTAGGTAAATACCACACTGCAAATGATGCTTTTATCTCTCTTTACCTTATATTGTCTTCACGGATAAGTACAACAAACAGTGGACGACCATGCATTTTCCAATTCTGCTTAATGAACTGCAGTGCATTCTAGGTAAGAAACAATATATTAGTCAGCCTCGCCCCCCAAAAAAACACACACACAATGTACCAGAATACATAAGATATTAGAAGGCTATCTTAAAATAACACCATGGAAAAAAACAACAGTCAGAAAACCCCTTAGCTAATAAAACACTAACAGACTTCTTCAATAAATGTAAGATGCTTTCAAGCATTGCTATTTCACAAGTTTTCTGAAAATACTCCTAGTTAGTATATATTGATCACAGGCTAAACCACTAGACAGACTGTGGTACACTGAGCTACATGTAATGACCTAGTAAGTACGCATGGGAATCCAGGACTTGAATCACAGGCCCTAGCATGGAATAACCAGTACCACTACCTATGCACTGGAAGTAGCTGCTCAAGCACAGGGGACTTGACAGGTAAGCTTCATGCTGCTGCCTGCCTTAAAGCTAGGGAAAGAAGGCAATTTTTAATATTTGTGCAAAGTCAAGTAATACTTCCTCCAGGTCAGGCTTTCATATTTCCCTTAATCAGACCAGTCTCATTCATCTTTCCAGCCAAGAACATTTATTTTCCCAAAGAAACAAGTAATAATTTGCTCACTGCACTACAGCATTCCCAATCACTTTTGGGTGATTTTTTTTGTCAGATAGAAATACTCACTAGAACTCATACTGGGCTGACAGGATATTCATCTCAATACACTTTCCAGTATAAACTGCAAATTTATTTTTGTATTAGAAGAATACACACTATACAGAGTTCTCCTTTCAGTCTTCTATTTCATCAAATTTCAAAGTTTATTCTTCTACAGAGTCTACTTTTGTCAGGTTCTCAAAGGAGAAGTTACAGATAAATACCTTAATGTCATCAATCAACATCATAACATCCTGAGACATGTAGAAATCACTTAGATCAAAAATGATCGAGTAGCAAACTACAGTCTTTCCCAGTATTCGATAAATCTGTTGAGAGAGAAAGCTTCCATCAATCTTTTCTTTCAAATATTTGAAGCACTGAAGTAGCTAAGAAGGAAAAAAGGTATTTTGAAACTATCAAAGTAATAATCAATGTAGAATAGTCGACTTAAAAAATAAGATAAAAGCTACATATCTAATTTTAGGTACTCTGGTTTTTAATAGGTATGCAGATCTGCATTCTATTTCAGTTAAAACAGTTCATCACCATTCAGCCTGTTTTGGCCAAGTACTACTGTAACTGGGTGTCTAGGAAACTTAGTTTAATAGTAAGACAGAGCATGCACATTCAAAATAACAATACACATTACAAGGACTTTAAGATATATGCATAAAAGAAAATTCTATTTCAATTCTATTCAGAATCATTCAATGTTTATCTGAAATATACATCAGTAATAAGAATAATAATATAAACATTTCTTGCAACAACCTTTGATGTTCCAAGGCATCCTATAGGCCTGTCTGGTCTTCCAGATAATCCCAATTTGTCATTGACTCCCAAATGGAAGTAAGCCTGTGAGAAAGAATGATAAAAACTGAGGGAAATCTAGATGTAAGCCTTCTTGATGCTCCTACTGGGTCCCCATAGAAAGCATCCTGCTCTCTAAATCAGTCATACACTCCAGTGTAACTCGCATCACTTCTGGCAGACCAGTACTCTGCTGTAGATGTGGTGTAACAGTTTCCCTTCCCGCCAAATAATAGTTTTGGGAGGTTGAAGGATTTTCACCTTACTCATGAACGTGAAAATACAGTTAATACTGGTTTACATTAAAAGAGAGATGTCTTCATTAAGCAGGACTGCTGGGTAGGTTATGGTTATGACACAGGGGTGCAACTTCAGGCTTTGGCAAAGCACCAGAGTCCTCCCTATCTGCATAGTTTCAAAATTCAACTAAAACTTCTTGTTTCCTATATTAGAAAATGTATTATATTAATATATATTAACTCCTATATTATTTTTACCTTCTTACTCCTATTCCTTTTCTAGTCTATATAATTAAAATATTTTTCAAATCCTCAAATTGCTCATTGAAATTATTTTTTTAAAGGACCATTTGCATTTATTGTCTGGCCAATTTTGCCTTCTGTAATGCTTTTCCAATGTGGATACAAAGGTAAAGCAGTATTACAGGAACTCTTTAAAGATCTTTATTCTAATTTTAGTAAAGGCTTGCAAAATTAGCGCATCAACAACACAAGCAAGAGGAAATTATCTCATTATTCATTGCTTATTTCTTTTTTGAGTTAAATTATGTATGCCTAGTATTACTTCAAATGATATAATTTTGTAAATCTCGCATATTAAAGACAACCTTCATTTATTATAGTGTATGAGAATAAAACCATAAAAAACAACCAAGCTCTGAGCAAGGCAGTATAAATGTTATCAGTTAAACCAGACTATGAAAGGTGTCATTTATTCCTTATCTGGGCTGTTTTACATAAGGAACCCAACATTACTAAAACTTCAGAACACTCAAATTCAGAACATTTTCCTAAGCTCAATCTTTCTTTATGTTATAGGAAGATAATTCAGAAGCAATTGAAAGTGAACATTTGAACAAATACTACACTCAATAGCTTTTTACCGCTGTCAGCTTGGGGACCTCCTGATACTGCCTATGCTTCTGCTTTAATACCAAGAACTATTTAAAAAAGAAAATAAACAAAATCACCTACATCACCTGTTCATCCAGAGTAAGTAATTGTATTCAAGTAGGAAAGGAATGGAGATATCACAACATTAACAGCTTTAAATAACCCATCTATACATGACAAAACCAAAAGAATGTTGAACCCCTTTTTGTAATAAATAATGGAGATCAGAAGAATGGCAGTAGACGTTATAATTTAACACGAAAAAGACTTCATTTTGCCAGAATGTAAAACATAAAATGAGTTCTTAACAAAAATAGAACTCTAGTAGTATTGTAATATTGTCTCTTTCCTCAAAGACTCTTTAGCTTGAGGCCTCATGTTCTTCTACAGTCTACTAAAGCAGTTTCATCTTCTAGCTGTTACAATCAAAGTGTTAGTTCAGATTCAGCAGCACAGTATCTGAACAGAAGTACAGTTTCATGCAAATCCAGCTGCCTCAAGCGGGTTTTTTTCTGGATTCAAATGCCCTTCAAATCTGGAATGTTAAAGCTGCTAATAGCAAGAAACGGCTGTGAAAGCAGGCTGGACTGTTGTGTTGATTTATGAGAGTGAACCAAATTACAGCGGTCTTTCACACCATCTGTTTCTGTCTTCTTTTATGTGCTATCAGTCTATGCCTGTGGAGTATTCTGCTATTCTCCTGTACTATATTTCCACTACATATATACTTTTCTTCTATATATTGCATGCATCTTGTCCCATTTTCCTGTTTTCCGCTTCTTCCTCTTTTCATTCCCTGCCCAAGACTTTGTGGATCTGTTTACATGACCCCAGTCCTACTTTCAATCCCTAATTTTCCTGAATCAACATTTTCCCCTCATCCATTTGTTTCTTTTATGCTACTTTTTCTGACACACGCTTGTCTAGAGATTTAAACTGCTATCATGTACCACTAGACCAGTTCAAAAGTTTATAATTAAACACGACTGAGAACTATGGCATTGGAATAGCAAATATTGAGAACCATGTTCAAAGAGGTAATTGTTTCACCATTAGCTTCCCCTCCCCACAAAGGATGACAAATACTACCAGGGTTTTTTGTTTGTTTACTTTTTGGTTTGTATTGGATTTTTTCATGAGGTCAAACCTCAGTTCTCATAATGCCCCAAAACCTTCATTACTTCAACTTCACAGCTATAGCATACCCTTTTCTAGAAGTCCACTAAGAGGTTTTCCATCAGGCAATTTAATAGTTTCATGACATTCGTTTTGGAAGTGAATTTTCATGAGCCAGATGTACCTACCCATCATCAGCATAAAGAAAATGTCAGAATTGCCCAATGTCTCACCAGCTTTTGAAAATTAATTCCTATCACAGAAGCTGTCATAGCTAGGAATTTAATTAATAATAATAAAATATAATGAAGGTCTCATCTTTTTGTCAGGAAGACCAATGAAATGATGAATGACTGAAGAGACACAATATAAACTTTTGTAGTAAATTTATGGAGTATCTATTTGTTAAACAAAAATTTCAATTACAGAATTTCAGGACAAATACAGTCAGAGAGAATCCATTTTCAAATAATTTATCATTGTCATAGTCTCTTATATTTAAATGTATTTCCAGGACAAACAGCAGTGCTTGAAGCACATATAAGACTAAAAATGACTGAATAAAAAAGAGGATGCTGAATTGGACCAGTATGGGCTGTAGATGTCATTTACTTTCAACTGCTGGCTTCACAAGGCATTGACAGTTACCTGAACAGATGCATCTAAGATGACATCATCAGTGAGGCTCAGTACAGATAAGGGCAAAAAGGGCCAGACTTTTTAAGTGAAAGGATATGGCACTCTGTTAGGAGACTACTTGCCTGTATAGAACAAGGAAACCCTGAAGTGCTCACAGAGAATGAAAGGGATTCTGAAGACATCCTACATCCCAGTAATTTTTGACTGTAGATTTTTAAATGTGCTGAATTAAAGAGGTAAACCAGAAAGGTTTAAACACCAAACCTCCTGGATATGGTCACCACAAGAGACTCCTAAAAAAAGTTACAGAAGACCATAAAACGCCTGTTATAGGGGCTACGCTCTGAAATGATATGATGGTTTGTGCCCACTGTCTTAATCCATTTCTTTGACTATTGCTCACTTACTTGTTTCTCCATCAAGATTCACTTAGTCTACTGTGCTATTAATATTATTGAAATTTTATTATTTGTTCATTATTCTTTGAAAGTCGCTTTGGTGATAAGCCTAAGCAGACAACACAGAGAACTGGGCTTTGGTGTTTCAGTGAAAGCTCTCAGCATGTATAACTGACCAGTGTCAGCAAATCTTGCAACTGAATTAAAAAACCCCAGAAGGTAGATAATTAGCTTAAGGAGATACGAGTCTAATAGTTGATATAAATTCCTATTTTTATAAAAGAAATGTATATATAGATAAGTAATTTTAAACACGGAATTCCTTACTTTGACAAGTTCTTTTTGAGCCCATATCTGAATTGGTTCCACCTGCTGGGGGGTCTGAGTTTGGATTCCATATGTGTTCAGAAAAACTTGTAGGCTACAAATGAAATAACGACAAATTTAATGACAAATCACCAAATAGCCTTAGTTTTAACAATTATTTAGCAGCAGATACACAAGTAGCAGTATTATATTCTACACTTCCTTGAATACCTTTAGCAAATTTAAGATGTCTATTCTTCAACACTTCCCTAATTTATACATTCTTAATAAAAGAAAATACATACCGCTGACTTTCTGCTATCAGGGCCACGTGTACTACCACATCATTTTCTAAAGGACCCTAGAAAATAATGAAAAACTATTTATTAGCATTGCTAAATATTTTGTTAGATATAGCATGAATAGGGCAAATGTCTATTTGAACAATTCACGAGTATGACAGACATCCCTGTTTGCATTGCTGCTTCTTACTGTGTGAACAAATTGAAAGAACAACATGGGACTAAAACTTGTAAATCTCAAAACAATGGGAGGACTGTCCTAGCAATAATACTTTGCAAGATGCATTTTGAAGAAAAAATAATGCATAGGTTTCTGGTAACCATTTCCACTGTTTGGTTTGGTTTGTTGTGGGGTTTTTTATATTTAAAAACAAAGCACACAGGAAAAACCTTTTGCTTCATACAAAAATTTAGAATTTATACAATCAAAGTATTTCCTTTATGCTTGATATAACATACTGTTTTAATACACATTTTTGTAAAGAGTGAAATAACTCAGCTATTTGGATAACCAGTAATATTCACTCTAAAATAATGAACAGATGATTTCAACATTTTATTTTGAAATATTTTAATCAGACATCTACTCTTTACAGTTATATGAAAGATATATTATATTTTACAGGAGATAACAGCATTTCCTTGCATTCTTTATAACCCAGATACTTCATGTTTGAAATAAATACTAGTATTTTACATAAGGAAACCATGCAACTATGAATGAATACAACATGCCGGGTGAAATTACTGACTCGACTCCCTGGGTCTCAAAATGGCAATTCACCTTTCTTTTCACTGCCAGTATGCATTACTAGCTAAAAAATGAGACATCTGAGCTACTACTTGTTCATTTTTCCTCTATCACTCAAAAAATCAAGAGAGCTAAAAAAAGGATTTTGTATTTTAGAGCTCCTTTCATTCCTAAAATGCTTTTTGTCTAGAAACCACCAGAACATGCATGACAAAGGTAAAACACATCTTCCATCAACTGATTTATACAAAAACACAGCATTTTCTGTGAAGATAGATGGATAGACATACTGATTTAGAACAAAAAGTTTGGAGTGAATGCTTGTTTGTTCTTACATTTTTGAGCCTTGATATCAAGTTAGATCTTAGATTTGCAGAAGAAATTCTTGATAACATTTTCCTAAAAGTCTATCAGCACTACATTTCAGTTAAATATTTTGGAGCTTTTGCCACATGAAATAAGTTTGTGATGCAAGTACGTGCAGAAAGAGACAAGATTAAGAAGTCAGAAGTTCAAGTGACATTGAAAGATTTTCCTCCTCAGAATAAGGTGATCTATCAACTGCCTTTATAAAAACAGTAAGAAAACTCAAACCAATTATCTACTATAACCAATGCATTATGTTTATAAAACAAAAAGCGAAGACACCCCAACGCACCCACCCCCCAAAAATGAGACAACCCCCTCCAAGACTGTATTAATAAATAGACAGCCTGTGACCTAATTTGGGGAGTAGTCTTCAAGTTAAGGCTCAACTTAATTATTACTGTATTAATGACAAACTGAGTTGGACTGCGTAACCATAGACTGTAAGCTGTACCTAAATCTGTGTATTCTGCATCCCCACTGAGGTACGTCCTTCTCTGATACCAATACTAATGCCTCTCATACACAGACGTACCCCGTGGCATGAGTCATTTACAGCAGCCAGTAAGTGGTGGTTGTAACATGGGTCATAACCAAGCAAACGCATGTGCAGCACAACTGGCACAACACAAAACCTGTGTTAAAAACAGCTAGACTTTGAAAAGTATTTGGGAAAAATGTAACTATAATTAATGTTCCAGCAATCCTGCAGATGTACAGCAAACAAAGTTATTTTCATTGTCATTTAATATGTCAAGGCCTGGAGGATCACAATTAGTGGTCTAGAAAAACACAGCTCAAAATAACAGATACAATACTCATGAAAAAGTATGTCACTCTTTTCAGTAATGATTGTGATATATACTGTTTGCTATATATTTTTAAAAAACGTGGAAAAAGAAACTTCTAAATATTCCACTAAAATCCTGTTGTTTATTTTACAAGTTCAATTTTACACGTTCAATTTCACATTTGTCTAATAACACAAGCTAAGGTGTTGTTCACACAACATCAATCACTGCCTCTCCAAGACACCACAACAGACACCCCATCCCACCCCCCCCC